CTCCTCCCAGGTCCTGCTGTACACCAAAATATCATCAAGGTACACAATCACAAAATCCTTTATGAAAGGTCGCAACAAATCATTCATGAGCCTCATAAAAGTCGCCGGAGTATTGCAAAACCCAAACGGCATCACCAACCACTCGAACAGTCCCTGTTTAGTCTTGAACGTCATCTTCCAAGTGTCTTCCTTCCGTATCCTCACCTGATGATAGCCAGACTTCAGATCCAATTTCGTGAAGAACCTTGCTCCCTCTAACTGGTCCATAAGATCATCGATCCGTGGTAGTGGGTAACGATTCTTGATCGTTATCTTGTTAAGCGTCCGGTAATCCACGCACATGCGCCAACCTCCATCCTTTTTGGACACGAATAACATCGGCGACCCGCAAGGTGAACAACTCGGCACTATCACTCCCGTCTCCAAGAGCTCCTGAACCTGCTTCTTGATCTCTTCGGACTCCTGTACTGATGTGCAGTATAGGCCTATGTTTGGCAAGGAATTCTCGCCGGTCAACATAATCTCATGCTCTACACCTCGACGTGGTGGTAGCCCCGTGATCTCCGAAAACAAGCCCACATACTTGGCCTTCAGACTATCAAGATCTCCCTCCTGCAGTTTACTCAAAGTGGCCAAACATATCCTACTCAGCTGCTCTTCATAAGATTGAATAAACAACAAAACGAATTTCCTGCCCGCATTCACCAACCTCTTAGCCTGAGTCACCGTCACCAAGCTCGTCTCCTGCGGAAAAGATGCCGAACGAAGAATGACTTGCCCGTCATCCTTGGTAAACGTATACTTTTGGGCCCGCCGATCATATATCGCGTGTCTATCCCACAAGTAAGGATTGCCCAAAATAACTTGGCAAACATCCAACGGAACCACGTCACATGTGACCTCGTCAATATACGACTCATGGAGTGCAAATCTAAACGTACACTGGTTCACCACACTCAATCCCGCCTCCTTCTGAATCCACCCTAATGGATAGGGCTTCTGATGTTTCACCGTTTTTAATCCTAGCTTCTGTACTAATGCCTCAGATATCAGATTCTTCTGGCTTCCTGTATCTACAATAGCATCCACCAAACTGGTCTTGACCTGCAACTTTAGAACAAAGAGCTGCTCCCTCGGGTCGTCGTCTTCTTTAGTGGCCTGCTTCCCTGTCATAAGGTTGAGGCTGCTATTGGGTTCAATCATCCCGGGAACCTCCTTTGGACCTTGTGCTATCACGTACGCCTTCTTTTCCTCCTTCTTCAACCCTTTCGGCTTCAGATGAGGATACTTATCCCAACAACGATCAACTACGTGTCCTGTCTGCTTGCAGTGATTACATGTCAATCCTGCCTTCCCCGAGTCACCATTCTTCTTCTCATCCTTAGGTTGAGAGCCACCCGACTTGCTCCCCGCTGGTTTGGAGTCTCCCTTCGTCTCGTTGCCCTTCTTCTGCCTGCCCTCAATAGCGATGGCCTTCACGCTCGCCTCGGCGATCGTCTCCACCGAAAATAGCTTCATCTCCTTCCGGATGTAATCATTCAGACCCGTCATGTACTTCATGAAGATGGAGTACTCGTCCGTTGCGATGTTTAGGACCATCGCTTGTTATTGGAACTCCGTCGTGTACTCTTGAACAGTTTGATTGAACCTTTGGCGCAGGCCGTACCACTTATACCAACGCTCCTCAAGGAACCCCATCGGATAGAACTGCTTCCTAAGTAGCTCATTAAACTTGTTCCACGACGCCACCTTCTTTTCCTGTTTGCAATAGGATTTCCACCACGTCAACGCGTGCCCTGAAAGCTTCAATGTCGCGAACACTATATTTTTCTTGGATGAATATCCGTAGAGAGTAAAATACATCTTCATACGCTCGATCCAATCATCGAGCTTCTCCACATTGATACTCCCATCATAAACAAGAATCTCAACCTTGAATCAATCTTCAAATTCTTGTAATTATTCTTACCCTCTTAATGTCCAGCAGTCTTAACAATTTCGGCCTCCCCGTCTGAATCAGAGTTCTCGCTCTCTTCATCGGATTCGATGAGTTTCTTCTTACCATTCGAAAAAGATTCCTCCTTTTTGTCCCCATTGTTAATGAGACCTACGAGCTGACTGAGTGTCGAACCGATCGTCTCGATCTGCTTTTCCATTGCATCAAGTCTTGCTGAATGATCCCCTTCAGTCATCTTCTCCTTCCTTAATTTCTGGACTTCTTCTAATGAAATAAGGATCTCGCCAAACTTCTTGTATTGGGATCGAGTAAGGACCATACACAGGATGCCCCTTCACCGGATCTGAAGTTCTGATACCAACTTGATACGAGTTGCCGTGCGACCACCTTTGTTCGCGGAATTATCAAAGGTGGGTCGAGGAGAAAATAATAAGAATCACAAGAACAATTCAGTTGTGACGAAGGAAAATACCTTCTCTAGATTATGAGAATAAAAATAGTTTTACAATCTCTCACAATCTCATTAGAATTGAAGAACAATCTCTCCCAATTCTCCCATACAATCTAATCTCCTCTGATTGTTTTAAAACCCTAAAATAATCCCTTTTATATGTGGAACAACGTGGATGACAAAGTGGTAAATAATCAAGCCCAAATCCCACAGGAATTCGTGCAAACAGAATCCCAAACGCACCAGGAAACCATCGATGAGTCAACTCGTGACTGTAATGAGTCGACTCACCCGAAAGCTGAACAAACCCCAAAATCAGTTATGAGTCGACTCGTAACTGAGATGAGTCGACTCATGACATATGGGTCGACTCGTAAACTGATGAGTCGACTGGTCAGAAACTTTTAACAAAACGGCTGAGTTTCGTGTGTCGACTCATGACAGTCATGAGCCGACTCAACCTGATGAGTCGACTCATGTACATGTATGAGTCGACTCACGAGCTGAAAACTGGATTCTTCGAATCTGCTGCTCGTCGTCTCGTTCCACGTTTCCACCTGCGTTCCACTGTGTTGTTTCACACCTCTATTCTCATGCTATTATGAGAATCATCTATCCTCAAGCTCCCATGAGGATTGCTAAGTTCCGAAGAGAAGATACACCCGTATCAATAAACCACTACAAATAGAGTTCAAACACTATAAATTCGTTTTGGAGAAAAAACCCTAGATTTCTACGTGTTAAAAGAGGAGAGAAGGAAGAGAGTACCTGTTAGATCTTTCAAGATGAAATTCCGCACAAAAATGGTGTTGAAATGCGAGATGAACGAGCTGAGAACGTGGAATATTAGCTGGGAACGACCTGGGGGGTTTATATAAGTGGCGGGACCCAGAACAAAATAGTCGGGTTTGCTAAACCCGACTATTTTCCTTAGCCAATTTTGACTCGTCGGTTGGGTTGGGTGAATAGTCTTTGCCATATGATCGGGTTTGGGAACCCCGATCATTTCGAAATACGGCTTTCGAAATGATCAGGGTTGCCAACCCCGACCTATTAGACATGGTCCTAAATTAGTCGGGGTTGACAACCCCGACTATTTTGGCAACCCCGACCTATTATACAGGGCCCTAAATTAGAACCACGACTATTTAGAGGTGTCATTAAAAAAAACCGACCCATTTCGTGGCCACGCTGCTGACGTGGCCACGAAATGGATCGGTTTTGAGAAATAAAATGGGAGTGGGTCGATTTTTTTAATAAAAAAATTAAATGGGTTTATTTTGAAAATTTGTTCCTACTTTTTTAGTTAGATTATGTGACACAAGATGGAGTTGGCAAGAGAATATTCCTTAACTTTACTTTACTTCTTGAAGTTAGTTTCATCTGTTTAATTTTGAAGGAATCTTGTTCTTTGATGCTGATTGTTGGAGTAAGAAACAATGCGACAGTTGACGACTTTACTTTATAGGATGAAATTTGCTAGCTAATTGGCTGTTGTTAGTTAGTAATCAGCTTATTTCCCTTTTGAGATGAGATCATAGCCCTTATTTTTTGAATTCTTACTGGTTCCGCTTTCTTTGGTTCCTTATTTGCAGTTAGGTTTGCTTTTTTGTTTAAAGGAGTATTGTTCTGTAGGTGCATTTTGCTTTACAAGTTTGGAGATAGAATTGATTAGTTGATCTCCTTTCTCATATTTTGAGTAAATTAGGGTTTAGTATTTGCCCATGTTTTGAATTTTTTTCCAGATAGTATGAACTATTAGTTAATCGAATTAGGGTGTATTTCGGTTCTTTACTTGTAACCAGTTGATAGTTGAATTGTTGTCAAAGAATACTTGCTGGATAGTATGACCTAGTTAACTGCTAGATAGTATGCTTTGATGGGTCTTTTTTATTTTTGTTTTGGATACTATGATCAGGTGAATCTTAAAAATGTGGATGTATAATGCTAGTTGACAGTATGATCTTGTGGGAACTCAATTCATAGAACATGAGTTTTTGAATGAATTGGATATCATTTTTCAGTATTTTTCTTATTTTGTTTATTTCAACGGATATTCTGCCTTTTGTTTTCTTGGCTCTTTGGTAGCTATTATAATTTTTATGAAGAGTTGAATTGGGAGAATTTAGTGAGGAAACTTCATATGTTTTATGATCAATCTAATATTGTCTTTTGAGTTTAAATATTTTTTACTTTTATGATACCACTAGCTATACATAGTATCTTATAGTGCAACGTAAACAGTCTTCCCATTTGGTGCTACCAACCTTTTCAGTATATCTCATTGAATTTGCAGTGAGTATGCAGTTCATCGACATACTAAAATCTAGTAGTACATCAGCTGTAAGAACTTACGAGTAGGTTTATGTAAGTCTATTTCCAATGTCACATGATGCATATATAATTCACCACTTTCCATACCTGTTTCTTTCTTATCATGAGTTATTACAGGAACTTTAGCATTTCTGTAAAATTTGTCATATATGTTATGCCTTTTACATGCTGAAGGATTTTTCTTTTAATACAGTTGTTGCTATATAGTTTAACTATTTCAATGATATTTGTTAACTATCTGTTTGTTCTATGCCATAGGAGTGGTCCTCAATCTTCTATCAATTCAGCAGATACACTGGGGTCTTCATCCACAGTATGTTATCATTTTTTTTTCCTTCAGATGTAACATATCTCTGGATGCAATGTCCCATGAATGTGTCCATATTTCTGAATTATAGCTCAATAAGGAGTCAAATTTTGCACTCTAGCTTTTAAAGTTTGACTACAGATCACTTGAGTAAACAACTGCTGAACTGAACTTCAATTATCTTAAACATAGACAAAATATTCAAACACAATTCCTGTGAAATATGTTACCAAATAATGAGTTAACTTTCAAAGGCTAACACTGACCAATATTAGTAAATATTAGTTAATCATACAAATTGGTAATTACTAGATTTATTAATATTTACATGGAGGGTTGAGAGGGGACATGTTTCACTCTCTTTTCAGATTATCCTTCTTCCCAAAAGTGTCCTACTCAGTTAAGAGATAATTTGAGCATTGGAATTAAATGAAATTTGTTAATATAACTTAAAAAAAGGGGATACTTGTTAGAACTCATTCCATATCCAACTCCAATTGATTAACTGTCTAAAACTTTATTTCAAGTTCAGTTCTCATTGACTACATCTCCAAATATATATCTCCTAACTATCCTTGTTCTAGTTGAGCCCCATTGGCTAAACCCCAAGCATTTCTTTTATTTTTTTACTACTCATCTTAATTTTTCGGGAATTTCGATTGTGTTTACCGTATTCCTTGTGTCTAGGCAGAATAACACGTATAAGGAGTCTTACTTTAATTAATTGAGCCACCTTGAATGTCGGAAGGTTTCCTTGCATGTCTTAAACATGAAGTGAGTTATACGGGGAGAAAAGGAAAATGATGGAATATTGTAAACTGTTTCCAACTTGTATGAACCCACTCTAGTTGATCAATTAGATTTCTTGTTAAGACGGGTTCAGGGATCGACTATGGGAGCTGTAAAATAAAAGTTTTGATTTGAAATTTCTTTCATTTCATGAAACTTCCTTGGATGCAAAGATGCATCATCTATAGCTATAAGAAAATGTTTTTTCCCCTATAAATGGTTATGCGAATTGATTTCTTCTCACTTGACACATATTTTTCTTGTAGACATCTCCTCAGGATGAAGATTCAGTTCCAATGCCTATAGTTTTGATTGACCAGGATTCAGATCCTAGTGCAACAATTGTGCAACTTAGTTTTGGTGATCGTCTTGGGGCTCTAATTGACACGGTTTGACTCTCTTCCTCTCACGCATATGCCTTGTACATCTTTATTGTGTATTTTATTTTCTTTTGTTCATAAACTATGATTTCATGTTGTAATCTTTCTATGCTTTTTTGGGTGATGATGCACATACTTTATAAACAAAAAAACATGTCGGTTTATAGGTTGAAATTATTTGTTTGCTTTCTCTTATTCCATTATGCTTGTAATCATCTTTTTGCTTGTAGTCATCTCTTTCCTTTTTGTCCAGATGAAGGCTCTTAAAGATCTGGGACTTGATGTGACTAAAGGGACTGTAAGCACTGGTGCCTCCATCATAGAAACAAAGATATCTATTACAAGAATGTGAGTAATTTTCCCTTTTGTTTCTGTTTTTTTCCTATGTGAATTTCAAGACTAGTTTGTTTCATGGCAGACTAGAGCTTGTCCATACTTTCTAGAGCTGCTACTGTACCTGTAGTGGGAATACTTTAGATATAAGTCTCTTGTTCCGTAACCCTTAGCAATATATCAACTCCTGTTTAATGGATTATTGTTACTCATTTTCATATAGTATAGTGAAAAAAGGACATTACTCATGGTTTCTTGTATGGCATATTACTTAATGAGGTTGATCAATCTTATACAGAAGCCAACCTTTATATCCTGGTGTGTTCCTTCTTTTTTTAACCCAGAGCTTCCTTGACAGAGAGCTATACTTCTTGAATCAAATGTGAGGGCTTCTAATTTTTTTCCATACTGATTAATCAGTAAACATGTTTTCTATTCCGAGGCGCGTTCGGTATATTTGCCATGCAAAACAAACTTTTATTGTCCATAAATGACATCAGTAACATCCAAACCTGATTAGGCAGTCTGTTGGTTGGCATACTGTCTTAGCTACTGTTATTTATCATTTGTACTTGTTATGTCGTGAGCACACTTGAACCTGTCAGTGTTGGATTCATGTGATGAAGCTTATTTTATGTTTGTACTGGAAAAGAAAAGAAGCCTGTTTTACAGGATATGATTAATGGGTCTACTACCAATTAGTTCTCGCAACTTGCATTAAGGAATTAGGTATCAACTACGGTTTACATAGTAGAGGAAGTCTATTAGTTTGAATTTTCCGCAAAACACAATTTTGCAATAATTTCCTAGTAGCATTTGGATAGGTATGTATTGTAGCTGATTAATTCCTCATGCATTTTCATGAAGTTTCACTTTGCAGTGTGTTTAACCGAAGATTTCTCTTTATGTTAGAAGGTTACAAATTTCTTTCATACTTGACATCTTGAGGATAATTGATTGTGACCATTTGGTATGGATGTCCACGTGTTCAGGGGGCGCAAAGTTGAGAATCCTGACATGTTAGAGAGAATCCGGCTTACTATAATCAACAACCTTCTGAAATACCATCCTGTATGACATGATCTTGGTTCTTTGTTTTCTCTTGGTTCTTTTTGTTTTCAATTATCCTTTGCTTTAGTGCTTCAGTTTCCTAAAATGCCGTGTGTTTTCCTCAGGAATGTAGTGAGAAATTGGCGATGGGAGAAGCTTTTGGAATAAAACCTCCTGAAAAGAAGGTAACGTGATGTGCTTTTCTGTTATTTTTGCTAAGTTATATTGATAGAATAAAGATACAACAAACTGTTGCATTTCTAAATTTGGTTATACGGGATTATTTCAGTTATTGTTAGTAGTTTATATGAAGTTCTAAGTCACCTAAATAGGAGTTTCTCTATTTGAAAAATACTTTTGAATATCTGAATTCAGGACTCTGGAGTAAAGATTTCTTAATTTTGATTCTGTTCTACCTGACATAATGACAGATTATTAGAAATATAACTAGTAAAATTTAACATCTCTGCGTTCATTGTCCTTTGTACTTTTGCATAGTCGATAAGTTATCAAAGGGAAACTCTTGCACAGTTTATGAAATAGTGTTTTGTAATTGGATTGTGTTTCAATGTAAGGACAACCACACACATCAGAGCCACTCGTCTCTTTGAGGAATTCTGAAAAGAGAGAGGGCCACTGGATTAGTGCTCCCATATAGCACTTCTTTGAGAGGGAGAAAGAAAGGAAGGGAACAGAGATGACGGAAACATGATTAGAAAGACAAATTAGTACTTCAGTATGCAATTTAGTTGTTGGAATAGGTTTAAACTGCCTTTTTATAATTGTAATACTAATTGATGATACTATGTAGAACATAAAAAATACACAAAATACTGAAGCATCCAGAATCCGGATGTTCAACAACAGAATAGGCCGCAAGTAAACATATTGCCATGTACAAATCTACATTACACCTGAATATTTTTATCTTCTAAGCTAGCCTTATATTCTACAATGCCTTCCTGGGATCCTAAAAATAATACGAGTAAGATACCATTTGACAGTATCACATGAGCCACTGTACGAAAATTTAAATGTATATAGTGAACTCGACAACTATTTGGTCATCTTGCTGGCAAAACAGCTGCTTCAAATTTGTTCTTAACATTGTTTGGATCAGTATATTCTCTTAGCCTTGTGTGTAGTAATTCCTCTTGAAAATATGCACTACACTGTCGCACACGCACACAAAAATGAAAATATTGTATGGACAATGGATTAATATATCACATGCCAATTTCTGCAGTAATATTGTGATACAATGATACAACTGCATTGCAAGTTTGAACTTCACGGTGCTTTTGCGACCTCTTTCAAAGAGTAACCTTAACATTTCATTCATACTTGACAGCTTGATGTTGACATTGCAACGCATATAGAGGTTATAGAGGATGGGCCAAAAAGAAGGTTAATGTTTTCCCTATTTCATTAATCTTTTAGCAGTATGTTTGTCATTGAGCACCATCAAAATTATGATTTAACTTTGCTGCATACCTTATAGAAGTTCCTTTGTAAAACTGAAAATTCAAAAGCTCTTTTGATGTGCAAGTGAATTTATGAAGCATATGTTTAATTAAATGGAAACTATATTTTTTTTTCATGCTATCAGGTGTTATTTTTTGGGGCTGGTTGCAGATTGATCCCTCGTACTATCGCCCAATTGCTGATATTTTGTTGGAAAAAACCCGGTTATGTAACTCCGTATGTTGTATTACGTAAACTAGCATGCCTTAAAACGTAACCTTATCAAATAACTCAGACACATCATTTATAACTATATAATATGTGTAATTTCAATATAACTTACGGTGTTTCAACATAACATGCGTTATTTCAATTTAACACACATTATATCAATATAAGTTCTAGACTTGAGAGTATATCGTTTCGTAAAACTCGAAGTAGTTATATAATTTATTTTAAATTGTTTGTTGAGCATTCATGTCTTGTTTTGGTGACGTCATTATGTGATTGTGAAATTATGACTATGACGAATAAAATGACTATAATTATGAACAAGCTATAAATTTATGATTATATATTTGAGCATTCGGTTGTGACACTTCCTAGTAAATGTATGTGGCTTGTATAAAATTAAGGAATTTTTATTTAAATATTTTTTATTATGATATTTTCTTATTAAATCTTAAATTATTATGAACATCTTTTATATTTTTTAAATTAAACAGTAAGAAAATATTTTGTTCCTGATTGTGATGTTATGTTTGAAATTTTTGAGGATTCTAATAATTAAAGTCCTTATGAATGGTTTGTATTTATAAAATATGTAAATAATTAATAAACAAAAGAAACCTATGTTATGCATTACATTTTTTTGTGTTTTTTCCTTTAACCCTTAACAGGACGTAGAGTGCTATGTTATGCGTTATTGTTCTACTGTTGTAGATGGAGCTCCTGTACCATTGTCCAGTTGCGGATAGATCCACTGAGTGAATTTTTTTTTGACTTTTCTACCCCCAGAAGGTCTATTTGTCAATGCACAAATTTTCTCTCTGGGAGTAAAAAAGGAAAATAATAATAAAAAATCAATCTGCAACAATAGAACTACAGGGGGTATATCTGCAATCAACCTTTTTTGTATCGTGAGCGAGATAGTTGGGCGGCTGCTATCCCGAGGAGACTTCTTAGTTTGAATTTCTCAGGGGCACCATAAGATGTTTCCCTGCATATTATCTGTTATATGCCCGTGTTGGTGAGGGTTGGGGTGGTCTCTGCATGTCTAGAAGACAAGGAGAGATCTGTCATGCCCCGCTTCCCATAAGATGAGGAAAGGAGACACAACTTGGTCGGCGACGTATTTACAGAAAGCGATTACTCCCTCATAAATATGCTAAGCCTCTATAATCTGTACAATTATTAATGTAATTCTGCATATATAAACAATAACATTCATATCCAGACAACTAAGAGCATCTCCAACAGCTTCCCCAAAAATTTCTTCAAAATGGGGAAGCAAAAGTCATATTCTCCAAATTATTTTTGCTCCAACTCCAACAGCTTCCCCATTTTAAAGAATCCTGCATTTATTACAATAATAAAAACATTCACCATCTTTGACTAATAAATAATAAATTATTTTTTATTTGAAACTTTGAAATAATGGTTAGTTTCCAACGGCTAGATTTCATATTGATGATCCAAATCATTGATTTAATTAAGTCATCATAACGAGGAGTCTAGGCAAAAAAATCTAGAACATATTCATGTGTATCTTATTGGGAAGTAAAGTATTTTACGAATTCAAAATGAAGAAAGACAGAAAATCACAATATTTATTTACTTTTGCTAAGCTTGACTTCTGTTTTGTTCAAAATGAAGAAACGTCTAATTTACAACGGCTACTTTGACTTCTATTTTTTTATCTATATATATGAGAACAAATCTCGTCACTTTTGTTATCTCATTCTCTCATTCTTTGCTTCCTCATCTTTTTCTCACTTTGAAAATATATTTTATGGCTCGTCGTTCGTTAGCTAGTCGTTATCTAGTTAATACGTTCATGGATGACGACGACAATATTGATGACGAATATGAAGAATTGTTACATGCTCAAATAGAAGAAAAAGCGCGTGCCAACCAGAGTTCAAGAGGAGGTCATCGTGGTTCTATTATGGGTCACCATATTGTTAATCGTGATCTAATTGAGGGTCATGAAAGACTTTGTCGTGACTACTTTGCTAATCCTCCAAAATATGGGGCTTATCTCTTTCGAAGGAGATTCAGAATGAAGCAATCTCTTTTCATGCGCATTCATGATGCAGTCGTCGCGCACGATACTTATTTTGTTCAAAAGAGGAATGCTGCTGGGCGTCTTGGCTTGTCATCACTTCAAAAGGTAACAGCTGCTTTTCGACAACTTGCATATGGTGTTCCAGCCGATTATGTTGATGAGTATGTGCAGATTGGGGAAAGCACCGCTATTGAAAGTCTCAAAAAGTTCGTCACAACAATTGTCGAAGTGTTTGGTGATGAATACTTAAGGTCGCCAAATAGTGATGACCTTAAGAGATTACTTGCAATAGGTGAACGACGCGGCTTTCCTGGGATGCTTGGAAGCATTGATTGTATGCATTGGACATGGAAGAATTGCCCTACTGCTTGGCATGGCATGTTTACTGGCCACATTCATGAACCCACTATTATTTTAGAAGCTGTAGCTTCATATGATTTATGGATATGGCATGCTTTCTTTGGATTACCTGGGTCTCTTATTGACATCAATGTGTTAGAGCGGTCTTATGTATTTAGTGGATTGGATGAAGGTAGTGCCCCTCATATTAGCTATAAAGTCAATGGGAGGCCATATGATATGGGATATTATCTTGCCGATGGTATATATCCATCATGGGCAACATTAGTGAAGACTATTCCAGCTCCACAAGGAAATAAGCATCGACATTTTGCTAAAGAGCAAGAAGGGGCAAGGAAAGATGTTGAGCGCGCATTCGGAGTGCTTCAAGCACGTTTTGCGATTGTCCGAAACCCGGCAAGACTTTGGGATAAGGATAACCTAAAGCATATTATGATGGCATGCATAATTATACATAATATGATTGTCGAAGACGAGCGTGATGAACATGAGCGTATTCGTAGACTAAGGAAGATACATGATATCGATATTGAAAAAGAATATGACCATGTTGATGAAATTCCACGCATATCACTTTCGCTCGAGCGTACACCAACAATAATGGAGTTCATAGCAAATCGTCATCGAGTTAGAGATAAACAAATGCATACTCAACTCCAAGAAGATCTTGTCGAGCACTTATGGAAAACACATGGAGCCAATTAGTGATTTGCTTTCTTATATAAATCAATATTATGTTGTTTCAACTTCATTGTAATGTCGTTAAATTTATGAAGAATAAAATTTATATATCATAAGGCTTATCATACCAATTTCATTGAGTAGTAGTATACTTGGTCAAGATAAAGTTACTAATAATTTGTCGAACCACGTAAATCTCGTGTTTGTATTGTCTTATCTGTGAGTTGCCATAGCTTATAGGTTCCCTCGACATTTCAGTCTTAGAACTGATGAGAGGAAGAGTGTATATTTCACTTTGATGAAATATATCACTTTCGATTCTTGTTTCCTTTGAGAAATAAGAATTTCACTTTCTATTCATGTTTCCTTTGAGAAACAAGAATATAGAGGTTGACTTGTGCTTTTGTGACAACAAAAGCCAGGGCTCTCTCTCAGGTGATATCACTTTCGCGATGGTGGGCGTGACTCTGCGCCCAACAAAGAGCAATCTGCTTTTGCTCAATATCAATTAGCAACTTAAGTTGTTCTGCCTTTACGCGGTCACTTTCTAGTCTCCTTGCCCTAAACTCTTCCAACTCAGAACGGACTTTTGAAGATTCCTTCTCATCATCATCACCTTGCTCGTTGGATTTTGCTTTTTTGTTCGCTTCTTTTGCAGCCTTTCTTCCAATAGGCCTCTTCAAGGGTGCAGGTTCAGGAGCATTTCCATTATCATCTTCCAAGTTAATTGTAATTTGATTTTTAGCATGAGGAGGCTTGAAGATTCTAGTTGCTTCAATTTTTTTATGTTCAACCATCCATTTTTGCTGAAACCTCAGAAGAGTCCAACAATGGTCAAATCCAAACTGATGACCTTCCTTATCTTTGTAGACCGTTTTTGCCTCTTGTATCTGCAAAGAATAGCTCATGTAAATATCTAACAGAAAAATAACATTTGAGAATGCAACATCAGTACTAACATTTGAAAATATAAATAAGAAGTAGGATGCTTTGAAGATAATGAAGATAATAATAGTGTGCACCTTATCTGCCTCTGTGTATCCACTTTTCTGCAAGTGTTCAACTGCAGCATAATGTCCACAAAACCTACTCACACTGAAGCTTATTTTTGACCAGCGGTTCGTCAGTGATTTTTCAGTGCGTTCATCCGGCCAACTCTTATGTTCTTCAAAGTAATGAGTAATTCTTTTCCAGAATTGGTTCTTCTTTTGATCAGATCCTTTAATTGGATCTAAGCTTGTATTCAGCCATGCGGCTATAAGAAGTTTGTCTTCCTCAGGAGAAAAGTTGATAGTTCTTTGAGATTGTTTTTGTGATTTCTTGCTGCTAGGTGCACATGGCGTCTCTTGATCAGTGTGAGCTTCAGTAGTATATGTCTCTTCAAAAGTAGAACCACTGGAATGGTACTGACTCAATGAAAAATCATATGTCAGATGTGGTTCATTGAGATCATCAAGAGACGGTCCATTGTTGAGGATCTCGGTGAAATTCATCTGCAAAATCTCAGAATTGCTTAATCACCAGATATAGAATTACTAAATTGCATGTACATAGAACTATTTTGATCTTGTGTGGTATATATCATACTCAATAACAACTAGAATATTTTAGCTGGAAAAACCTATATAGGAAGTTCCACTTGGAATATGTAGCAGGTGCTAGAATCCTTGAACTGAACATTTCAACTCTATATGAAGATGAAAGTCGAGTAAAATGTGAGCGAGATAACATTTTCAATGAATATGACATCTTCACTAGTGGATCAGATATATATAACAAAATAACATAAGAAAACTAATAGGGGCTTCACGATTGCTAATGCAACAATGTAAAAGCTCAAGACTTTGTGTTCTACTTTTATTGTGATATATAAAAAAGCATCCTTGGGAAGATAAAGCAAACATACATCACATAGATGCATATTTACTGCTAGAAGAAACTTACAAAATTCACAGGTATCTTCTTCAAGGAAGTGGCCTAGACACAATATAATGGGCAAAATATTTTAAAAAACACTTTTCAAATGAGGAAGAACAATTTTGTCAGGTAAATAAACATGTTGATATGAGGGAGGTCACTTAGATGATTATAATCAATCCATTCATATAATACTCTCTGTTCTATCCACAAATACAATATATAAAGGTGATTCAAATGGACTAGTTCTATATGATATCAACAAGAAACTGGACACTGATAGTAATACTCACGAGCAATGATACAAATGAGAAGGAGGCATACAGTAAATTGCAGTTTATCGTTAATTTGAAAGTCTCAGCAAATATCACAAAATATAGAGTGGAAAGGGAACAAATAACAGATGTACATACAGGAGTTGATACAACAACAATATCAAAGCCTTTATCTTAAATTTGTGGAATGGGACATACGCGTGCACAAGTATATTAATATAGAGGATGTAATATGGTTGTAAATGTTAGAATTAAGGGTCAGTTTGACAACTCAAAATTTTCACTTGTAGATGATGCCAAGTAGATGAATGGTTGCAAAAACCTATATAGGAAAATCAAGTCATGCTCTAGTACGGTGAGTGAGTGAAAATAAGGGTGTAGCATATAACTTGTTAAAGAAAAATTGGGCATTCATTGCACATGAAGTTTTTGATCCATTAAAATACATGAGTGGTTGGACCTAAATTGTGCTAGGATTTTTATTCTCAAAACTCAATAAGTTTACCAAAACAGTAATGAGAAAAAAGGTTTATACATTGATTTGAACTAGGCAGGGAAAATAAAATGAGGATAGCCAAAGAACTACAAGAAATAACATCAATTACCTGTAAACTTCACCATGGAAAATGTTAGAGAATGCTATCTATTCAACAATCTACTAACAAACATAATATATTCTAACTACTCCATCCAATCTCTTTATTTAACAGAATGTGAAAATCTATTGCCTCCATTTTATTTAACAGAATGTGACTAGAAATAATTACTCAAGCAAAGAAGAAACTATTTGAAAATAGGCTTGGCTAATTCTCTCAGATATTATTGATAACAAGATCCAACTATTTGTCATTGTGTCAACCTATTAACCTGATGCATATTAATGTTCATGTCTATGCCTTATCTAATGTGTTTGTGTCATGCTCAACAAGATATTATTGTACTAAGCAAATTATCATCCAGATATTAAACTCCTCCAATGTCATCGATAATGATTTTCACATTTTAGTGTTCCAGCTAACTTTTCTCTTGAAATTGGATTCTTCATTGCATTCAACAAACTGGTTTAAACTAAAGATAGTAACCAAAGCAAAGAAAACAAATCCCTATGCTTCTACTTCAACTTTCTTTTTAAGAGTGTAACCAGTGAAATTTCAACAAGATGTATGTACACATGTTTCTCAATAATAAAGTCTAGTTTAGATAATAACCCCAAAAAAACAATAGATCAATTCATATCTAAAAAAGGGAGTTGTTTCATTTTGTGGGTCCTGTTTGATCAATCTCCTATCAAAAAGGGAGGTTTTATTTTGATCTCTTTGAACTTTGAAAAATAAGTGAAGGCATCATGTTTATTTATCAAATTAAAGAGTTCTGAGCAGCTGGAAGAGATTTCCTCACTTCAAAAATCACGTATTTTATTCGGGTTCTTTTCCGAACATCTTGGAAGAAAAAGAATCGCAAAAGAAAGACAAGAAAATCCCAAAAATTGAAAGAATACAGGATGAAAAAATCCCAAAATTGATAGAAGGCAAGATCAAAAAGCCCTAGTTAAGAGTGTACCTCAAAATCCAGTGATCAAGAGGAACTTGGCTCGATCAGAGAGAGGAGGAGGAACTATGGCTCGATGGAGAGAGGAGAACTCGAGAGCTCGAGAGGAGAGAGAGGAACTATGGTTCGAGGATCGCCACCGCTCACCGCCGCTCGAGAGGAGAGAGGGAAATCTAGGGCTTTGTTTGAGAGACGAAGGGGGTTCTGCCTCAACTACGAGTCGATCGATCGCTGGAGAGAGAGAAGTGACAAATATCTTCAATGGCTCTCTCTTTGTCCCTATTTTTTTTATTCGTTGGAGACTTGAAGAATGTGAAATATTTATGACAAAGCTTTCCCCAAATTTTTGCAGAATGCTGCAGATTTGGGGAAGGCTCCCTATTTTTTTTCCTCTATCCCTATTTTGGGGAATGGGATGGGGAATCTGTTGGACCAAAAAAAGGCTCAAAATTCTCCAAAAGTGAGAATTCCAATAAAATGGGGAAGCTGTTGGAGATGCTCTAAGAGAAAAATACAAAGAGATCAAGAATCAAACTTATAAGACAAAAGATAAGGCACATAGTCTCGAGAATAAACTACATGTCTCGATTGCAACCACTAAGGAAAATGATAGTCTTGACATGAAACTAAATAAGTCCCAAATAACAGAGTAGTCTCCAAGGGCTCACATGAATTTCTAAGGAATAAAAGAGGAAGAAGCTTGGAATATGCACTGTCCTGCCATGTCCTCAGATATACCTGATCCTGCTTTATAGACGGATCTGCAAAAGTTAAGCCTGGGTCTGGGTGCACATAAGTGAAAAAAATGACAATTTTAATATTAGTATGAGCATGGAAGGCATGAAAGTACTAATGTGAAATGATAATAGAAAATCGACAATAATAAGCACACATGATAATTAGCAACTGGAGATTAAGGTTCTTAATATGGGAATGCAAAACATCAAGTGTATGTATAAGACACCCTATCTTTCCATTTATCACTGTTTAATTTGGAACTGATAGGTGGAGAAGTCTATGTATTTTAAATGTACCCCGTGCATACCCGGGACCATGGCCAAGACCCCTGGCACTGAACCGGGATGCTTTGCTAGGAACTCAAGAAAATATGTCAAGATGAGCAGCTGCTCCGGATTAATATCCTCTTGTAAGTAGAAGTTATGACAGTAGTGTCAGTCACTACCCAGAACGCCCACGGAAGGGAACCTAGATTTGGTTGATCAACCTATATCCTAGGCCATCCAAAATACACGTGGATACACCTTTCAGTTCCCCCAATACCCCAAGTTAAATTGTGGGGTTTCAGAAGTACATGAAGGTGATTAGTAGAATCCATGAGTGCCGAACTGGGGCAAGAAATGTAAGGGGATCCTGTTAAGCATTAGTGCATGTAATCAAGTACCAGTTCATGTATATAATATCAGGTAAGACAATCATAAATCCTAGCTAATATGTTTCATGTACTGCGGCTACATTCTGCTCAAATTTCAAGCTTCAAGGTACAGTGTCAGGGAGTCAAGTGCATGCATCATAATGTCACAAGAATGTGGTGTAATAAAACAATAATATATGGAGAAAATCATCAGTAGAAGCCTTTTAAAAATAATAACAACATGAAATCTATAATGCCACAAATGCTATTCATACCTCAAGTTTCTTCACATCAACAACTAGTACTCAAGATTTAGCAAAAGCTATAAGCTAATACCATAGCTCTTTAGAATGAAAGCCCTAAAATTTTGACATTACAATATGTATATGAATAGAAAAAAGATTAATGGAACACATGTACGCATGAAGGCCATGTACACATAAAGGCAAAGCAAGCATATATATCCAAGACTTCAAAGACTTAGCTGTTATGATGGATAGAAAAAATAACAAATCTGACAATATGATACTAGCATTGAGAGGATGCATCCTAATCTCTAATATAGACAAAATTTACATCAGTTCATATGATGGCAGTATGTACATTCTACATTATGAAATCCTTATTTATTTATTTTTACATGTGTGAACTGAGATATACATACTTGGATGCATAAGATTGAATATGAATGATTGATCATTAGATGAGTAAGCCCGACTTATAAAGCATTTAAATATTCTAGAATATTGGTGATATGGCCTATTTTAGTGGTCAAGGGAAAACTTGCATAAGTCTGGCATATAAACGCAGATACAAGTAATATACAAATTACACTCTCCAAAATATAACAGGTTGACAGCAGTGTCTAGTAGAATACCTGAACACTGGTAACTGGCTATGAAAGAACTTAATTATACATAAGGTTTACAACATCCAAAATACATATATTACATTTTTCCGGTGTTTTGTTTATACTACTAGCAAAAATGCACACACGAAACACTTGTAAGCATCTACCTAGCGGTCCCCTCTACCTGCGAATCCTTATTCTTGTTTGGGTCGCTGCCTGCGAACAAATGCAGCCACAAAATAGGTGGTGAGTGAAAGGCCCAGTAGGCAACACAAAGAAAATTAGGGATGAATCAAGAGAAACATCAAATATAGATGAACATTAAGATATTAAAAAGGAGAACCAAAATTTTAGAAATGTCGATCACACTGGATGAATCATCTTAGGAAAAAATCATTCAAACATAGAAAATACTCTATAATTAGAAAATGGGAGAAAGAAATTGAAAAATTGACAGGATCCAAATTACACTTGCGTAGATCCAACACCAAAATCCGAAAATATGTTGTTTTGAGGATAAGAGAAACCTAGGGACTTGCAGCTGCTTATGATAATGAAAATAATTGGGGTTTGGAGAAGGGAAACTCCGATTATATATAATTAAGATGTACAGATCTGATCTGCCTTGTAACTGATCCGTTAGGATCTGAAAACTCAAGTTTCTCCAAATATCCTGGAAAAATACCGGAAAATTCGAAAAATTGAGAGGAACAAAAGTCTCTACTGGATTGAGGTCAAATTCTCAATAACCTTGGAGTTAGGGTCATATTACTACATGATGATCTTGTATTTTCAGTTTATCAAACAATTTCAATTAGACTTGGAATTAATTCAATATGAAATTTTGAAGTTGGGCATTCAAGGATAGAGAACATTACAAGATCTCAAGAAGCTTGTTGTCGTCTTCACACTAACTCTCAGGGCAAACTGGATGAAATATTCTTAGATATGTTTTTGGTGCCTAGTCAAAAAGGAAGCTGGCTTGTGCGCTCATAGTTGCAAGCGTGTACATGCTAATGGCAGATGTATGCATTCTCACACTCGAAATTCACGGGTATCTTTTGTGTAGTTTCATTCATAATCTCATCTTTCATCATTTCTCCAAATGTTCTTGCATTTTCATCCCGTTTATCTCACTATAATATACATATTTCACCTAATAACCCTCCATTCCTATATAATATCATAAGTCTCTTTCTACTTCTCAAGTTGCAAAATAGGGAGATCTTAATCTTCATTGATATTTCATATGTTAGGACCAATTTGATGCCATGTATTTGCTTATATATAATTCAGAGCATTACGTTATGCATTATCGTTATTTCAACATTGCGGATAGACATCCTGTAGTTCTATTGTTGTAGATGGACCTCCTGTACCATTAGCCAGTTGTGGATAGACCCACTGAGTGAATTTTTTTGACACTTTTGCCCTCAGGAGATCTATTTGTCAATACACAGTTTTTCTCTCTTGGAGTAAAAGAGTCAAAGATAACAATAATAAATTAAAAAAATTATGGTCTATCTGCAACAATAGAACTACAGGAGGTCTATCCGCAATCAACCTTTTTTTTTATCGTGAGCGAGATGGCTGGATTGCTGCTATCCTGAGGAGACTCCTTAGTTTGAATTTCTTAGGGGCACCATTGGATGTTTTCCTGCATATTTTCTGTTATATGCCCATGTTGGTGAGGGTTAGGGGAGACAAGGCGAGATCTCAAGAAGCTTGTTGTTGTCTTTACAGTACCTCTCAGGGCAAACTGGATGAAATCTTCTTAGATATGTTTTTGGTGCCAAGTCAAAAAGGAGGCTGGCTTGTGTGCTCATACTTGCAGATGTGTGCATGCTACGGCAGATGTATGCATGCTCACACTAGGAATTCATGGGTATCTTTTGTGCAGTTTCATTCATGATCTCATCTTTCATCATTTCTCGAAAATTTTGTTGCATTTTGATACCATTTATAGTTTCCCTCACTATAATACACATATTCCACTTAATAACCTTCCATTCGTATATAAATATCTTAAGTCTCTTTCTACTTTACGAGTTGCAAAATAGGGGCATTTTCATCTTCATTGATATTTCATATGTAAGGACTGATTTGATGCCATGTATTTGCTTATATATAATTCATGCTTGCTGTGAAGTGGCATCTCTTTTTTCTTATTTTGAAGAGAGATCTAATTTTGGTTTACATTGTTCAAATATATTTTCTTGAACATGCTCTTCTCAGTTTACTATACATAGAGACAGCTGATAGAGCTGGATTACTGCTGGAAATCATCAAGATTTTATCTGATATCAATGTGAATGTTGAATCAGCAGAGATTGACACTGAAGTATGTATGATTTGTATATTTTTTAGTAAAGCCTAATTATTTCTTTTAGCATTAATTTATAGATATTTTCTTTACAGGGTTTGATTGCCAAGGATAAGTTCCATGTGAGCTACAGTGGCGCTGCACTGAATGATTCTCTGTCACTGGTAATCACAATATGTTTTAATTCAATGGTCATTAGTGATTCATTTGGTTCATATCATCATCATGTCATATGGTCTCCAGTATTTAAAATTATCTGGATATGAGAACTTAAAAAGTATCATATATCTGTGTGCCATCACGGATACCATTCCTTAGCTTAATTTGATTTGTTCCAAAAGTACTCATCATATATCTGTGTGCTATCACAGATACCATTCCTTAGCTCAATTAGATTTGTTTTGAAAGTACTGAACTTGAATTCCACAGGCATAACATGCATAATCTGGGATTTCAATGATGTTTGCCAACAAGAACACTATCTTTTTGGTGTAGATTTTAAATGTGGCTTTTAATGAGTTTTATGTTCTATTTCTTATCTCCATTTTCTTTTTTGGGTCTGTGTGTCCGTCGGCCCCAGGGTGGGTTTCTTTTTTCTTTTTTCCTTTTGTGTTGGGGTGGGGGTGGAGGTGTAATATGTTGTGGGACGAGGTTTGGGTTAGGTTGATATATAAATGACCTTGAATTTGTTGAGGTAGAATGCCAAGATTTCCGAGTCCATCAATAATTAAAAGAAACAGAAATCTATTACATTCTGAACAAGATAATTGTTCTTAATGAGCTTGCTAAATACCATTATTACTAAACTCTTTGCGCTGTTTTCCTACTTCTGCTATGCAGAACAGCTAACTTCTGCTTTTGAGTCTTCGAGGCTAACTCCGCCATGAGCCTCTATTTACATGCAAGTCTGTTAAGTGATTACCATGAGATTTAACTCCATTTCTCCTCTTTCAATGCAGGTTTTGGTCAACTGTCTGCGCTACTACTTTCGAAGGCCTGAAACAGATGAAGATAGCTATTAGCATTCCCTTTCCAGAGCAGTTTACACCCAAAAAATTGCTTCCCATTCGCTCCTTATTACTGAACAAATTGTCTGTAAATATTGATGGGTTGGCTAATCTCTGCTACCCAATGCCATTGCAGCTCCCCACCCATTCAAGAGCTGTACATGCTCTCTGTTGCTTATGCATCTGTAACCGGACTTTCTGGGAAACTTGACACCGTCAATGATGGGCGTTTGGCTGAGAAAAATGCCGCACATGTGTGTGAACCAAAATTAAACTCTTTTGGACGTTTGCAAATACTCACTTGAAAAATGAAAGGTGGTAAGGTCAGACTACCCTTCATCTTGATCAGTGATTTTACCTGGTTATCATTCTTGTCAGACTTTCTTTGATCATTTTGAAATTAGGAAACCTTGAAATATAAGTTGAAATCCCTTGAAATCTAACAGCATTACCTTAGCAGTATGCAAGGTGCTATTTGAATGTCCTCGTGAATTTCAGAGGAATACTATAAATTGAGGGTAGCTGTTAATATGCCATGAAAAAGTTTCGTTCATATTTAGAAGAGTATGAGAATCACCTGGTCTTCGTCAAAACTCATTAGCAAGGAAACTGATCCCTAAAAAATAGAAGCCGGAGGAAGAAAAAGATGGATAAATCAGTGATGGGGTTAAATTCGGACGTCAGTACTGCATTTTCAGTATGTGAATAATGAGTATCATTGTCATAGGAGAGGATTTCCTCCTTGAAAATGATGTGGCACAATCCCTATCATGTGATATTGTCTCTCTTACTTTATTCATATGATGAGGATTGTGTCACATCATTTTCAAGGAGGAAATCCCCTCCTTGACATAGGACACCCATTATTTTCTTTCAGTATACGAGGAAGTGTATGTTGCATTGCAAAATCAGCTACAACATAGGATACGGTAATATCTTCTACATAGCATCTAGCTTTATAAATGTATAATCACGTCTTTTTGATAACATTTTTTTAGCAATACGGTTCTCTATAAGAAGTAAGACATAATATAAGATAAATTTTGCTTAATAGCTCTGAACATAGGAGCATCGATCCAGTACTAAATATTTGGTACATCCTGTAATGGAAAAAGAACAACATGTAGACGTTGCATCCCATTAGACCCATTACGCGCGCTGTAACGATCAAATCCGATTTCATTGAAACTGAGTTCTATCGGAAGTCGGCTCCCAGACCCAAGCTATTTTTAACACTTTGATACCCTCTAAACTTTAACCTTTATAAACTTTGATACGGCAATCTATTTTTAACAGTTTGATACTTCAATTTTACACATTCTATAACTTTCTTACTCCAAAAACATCCACATTTTAGAACTTTGATACCTCAAAGTTTACACATTTTTTAACTTTGATACCCTAAAGTCTGGGTATCAAAGTATCAAAAATAGAACTTTGGGGTATCGAAATTAGAAAGGTATAAGCTTTGTTGCAATAAAAGTGCCAGAAAAAACTTCAAGATGTCAAAGTTAAAAAACTGTAGATGTTATGGTGTTAAGTGTCAAAAAACTTTGAGGTATTAAAGTTAAAAATGTGTAAACTTTAGTGTACTTTTTTTTGAACAAGATGAGGAAATCATAACTAGGGGGTACTTTGGTCATTGAGTGACCAAATTGGAAGACCTCATAGTCTTTGAGAGACTAATGACCAATTATTGAGATCTAAGGAACTAATATGATATTATTGAAGGTTTCGAGAGGACTAATACCTAACTAAATAAGCCTTCTAGTTTCAGGAACACCGAGCTCTGGGGAAGGCCAGCTTTGCTGCCTCGCATAATCCTCAACTTTGCGTGCCTAAATATTAATTGAAAGGACAAATGTTTAAAATAGTCCCGTTCAGAAACTTGTTTGTAAAAAACGATCTATTTCGAAAATAAATGTCAAATTTGACTCACTTTTAGCCAGTTGGCTGAAACTGGGTCGAATTTAGTAAAAAAATCTAAGAAAACTTCACGAGACTTAAAGTCCCGTGAAGTTTAACCTCCTAATTAACTTGCTTATGGGGCTTAAACTTCACGGGACTTCAAGTCACGTGAAGTTTTCTAAGTTTTTTCGTCAAATTTAACTCAGTTTCAGCCAGTTGGGCTGAAAGTGGGTCGAATTTAACAATTATTTTCAAAATAAATTATATTTTGCAAATAAGTTTCTACAGACGTCTAAAACGAAAATTTGTCCTAATTCCCTCTTCCTCCATTAATCAAAACCGAAAAAATCAGATCCTCAATCTTAATGGCAAGAAGACGTAGAAGGAAACCCTAATAAATCCTTCTCCCTTCTCCCCTTCTCTCCATGCCCCTTCGTCGCCATCACCTCCAAAACCCTAGTTTCTGCTGTCAAAAGTTAAAACAATTATTATAAAACTGAAAATAAAAGAGTTAGAACATCAGGCTTGAACGGGTGCAGTCGTGATTCACTGTCCTAGAAGATAGAGGACTCGCCTTTCGCCCTGGCGCAGTCGATCCTCTCCTCCTAGCGGTAAAAGCCCCTGAAAACGGCTGGCCTCTGTACTCGGGCGCCAGTGGCAGAGCTTCTGCTCAGATGAAGACGGTTGCCCAAAAATATAACAATTATAATATTAGAGAAATTTTTAGAGGACGATAGAGGATTAGAGGATTCTTCTTGTTTTCTGTATCTTCTCCGAATGAGCTTCAGCTCTTTATATAGCCTCTCGAACTGATAACCGATGCTGATAGTCCGCACACGTTACACGTATATCCCGCGTCCGTTATATGTTTCCATAACTCCCGCGACCGTTACAAGCTTGTGTAAAACATGCAAAAAATAAAACTTGAGAGGCAAAAAACTTGTGCGAGTGCGGCGTGGCGCGCGCGTCGTGGCGCGTGCGCGCGCGCGTGTGGAGCAACATCCCAAACAATACTAGGCCCAAAATACTAACTCAAAGCCCATTGAGATGTGAACCATTATAAACTTCTTGAACTTCTTCTCATTTTCCGATGTAGGACTATTCACAAAAGCAAAATTGCCTTTTCATGAACCAAAAGTCCAACAGTCCCCCCCAAAAGGCAATATTGACTGAAACAAAACAATAAGTAAATCAGTAAATCATAAAAGATATAGGTTGGGCAACCTTTCGTATCATGAATTCGGGAGAGGTAGCTTTCGGCTTTGAACCTTTCCTTAGTGAGTTTATCGCCACCTGAGGGATATAATGGACTAGGCCTTGAATTAGGCCCATTGAATCAGGTATTGACAAAACACACACACAATACGTCTTCATCTATTGAGCAAAGCGGGTTGAGCGTTAAAGGCTATGCTCACAAAAAAACGACTCATGAGAGTTTCTAGGGTTAGCCCACCCCCCCCCCCCCCTCCTCTCACGTTGGTAAGTCCTCAAAGGGTACTACAACTGTTTATTTAATACCCCCCATAATAAACACGTTGGATTTATTAAGAGTAAAACCCAGCCTCGTCAGCTGTATCATAAGAGCATCGTCATCATAGAGAAGGGGTAGTAGCACAAGCTACATAGTGATATATGAATATATCTGGGTCGATGCTCCACACGAGTGTCACTAGTCCAACTTGTTTCTACCATATTGAACCAACATTAGGACTAAGTCTCCAAATAAGGATTGGGTTACCACTGTCAGTGACCTCTCTTATGGGCTTAAACCCATCTCCCTCGATGAATCCAGAACCACACTCCTTGATAATCCCTTAGTCAAAGGATCAACAATATTTTTCTTAGACTTTACAAAGTCCAATATCACAACTTTACCTATCAGGCGTTGTATAGACTTATATCTTATTTGAATATGTTTGTTGAGTTTTTTTATTTACATGCACTTGCTTTAGAAACTGTATGGTAGATCTAGAATCAGAATGAATGGAAATTGGAGGAAATGGTTTAGGAACCAAAGAAAGTTCAGAAAGTAGATCTTTTAACCATTCTGCTTCTGTGCAAGTAGTATCAAGAGCAATCAGCTCAGATTCCATGGTGCTCCTGGCAATTACTGTTTGCTTACATGATTTCCATGATACAGCAGCACCACCAAAAAGAAATACATACCCAGATGTTAACTTTATACTGTTGGAATCTGTGACCCAATTGGCGTGACTATACCCTTCAATAACATCAGGGTATCCAGTGTAAGTTAAGCAATAGTCAACTGTCCCTTTCAAGTATTTGAATACTCTCTAATGATCTAGGTTAGGGTTACTGGTATACCGACTCAGTCTCCCTACAACATAAGCTATATCGGGTCTGGTTCGGTTTGATATGTATAGAAGAGATCCAATCATCTGAGAATATTTCAGTTGGGATACAGGTTCACCTTCATTTTTCTTCAAGGATATAGAAGAATCATAGGGTGTGGAAACATGTTTAGAGTTATGATAGTTGAATTTGATCAGCATTTTCTTAATACTATGAGAAAGACTCAAAGATATTCCTCTGGTATCTCTAGAGATTTTTATTCCAAGTATCATATCAGCAAGACCCTAAGTCTTTCATGTTAAAGTTCTTGGAAAGATAATTCTTGACTTTTAAAATTAGTTCAAGAGTTGTTCCAAAGATAAGAATATTATTAACATAGAGACAGAGGATGACATAGTCATTATTTATCACTTTTGAATAAACACATTTGTCGTGTTCATTCACTGTGAAACCATAATGAACAATAACTCTGTCAAATTTTTGGTGTTATTGTTTAGGAGCTTGTTTAAGACCATACAGAGATTTAATAAGTTTGCAGACTTTGTTTTCCTGACCCTTGGCAATGAAGCCTTCAGGTTGGTGCATATAGATCTCTTCATCTAAATTATCATTCAAGAAAGCAGTCTTGACATCCATCTGATGTATGATCAGCTTATGGATAGCAGCAAAGACTAATAATACTCGGATAGTTGAGATTCGGGCTACAGGAGAATAGGTATCAAAATAATCAATGCCTTTTTATTGAGTATAGTCTTTAGCTACTAATCTAGCTTTAAATTTATCTATGGAACCATCAGCTCTAAGTTTCTTCTTGAATATCCACTTACAACCAATAGGTTTACAACCTGGAGGTAAGTCGGTGAGTATCCAAGTATGGTTTTCTATGATAGATTTAATCTCATTATCAATGGCTTCTTTCCAGAAAGGAGATTCAGGTGAATCCATTGCTTCTTATCAATGGCTTCTTTCCAGAAAGGAGATTCAGGTGAATCCATTGCTTCTTGGAATGAGCTTGGATCACATTCAACAAGAAATGTAAAGAAGTCTTCTCCAAAATTCTTTTGAATTCTACCTCTTTTGCTTCTTCGAGGTTCAATATCAAAAGGCTAAGAAGAGCTGGAAGATGGTAAATCAGAAGGAAG